GCTCGTAGTCACGCTGAGCGGCAACGTGCAGCAGCACCCGAAGAGTGGTCATCTTCGGGGTGGGGGAGAAGGTCTAGAAGAAGTCAACTCCCTCTCGCTGACTGAAGCCTCGAGCAACGTAACGAGCCTTGCAAACAGGCGGAGAACCCGGCGGCCGCTTCACCCTGAAAATCCACATGCCACTGACGATGTTTGCCCCAGGTGGGGGAACCTCGTCGACGTAAGTGCCAGTGGACTTCCAGGATGCCATCTCTGCGTCCATGGCTGTCTGCCACTGAGAGGAGTACTCACCCGCGATCGCCTCAGCGTAAGAGCGCGGGTTCGGGATGTCTGGAGCATCCGGGTCTCCCTCAGGGGCAAGCAGCATGGCCACAAGATGAGGCGCAGCGGCTACAAGACACTCAAAGTCCTCCTGCCTGTCCTCAAGGACGTCCGTGCCAAGAGCACACTCACCCCCGACGGACGGAGGAAAGACAGACTCAGACTCAGCAACAAGACTAGCGGCGTACTCTAGACGACAGACAGCACCAAAGTGAACAAGCTCAGCGACTAAGGCAGACGCAGCAGCAGACTCAAACGACGGGTCACTGACAACACTGGCTAGCAGACGCGTGAAAGTAGGGTGAGCAGCACGAGCGCGGTGAGACTCAGGCTCAGCAACGACAGGCAGAGAAGACACAGGAGAGGACGGCAGGGGAACACGCTGCGGAGCAGAGGAAGGACGCAGGGCCATGAGGTGTGTGCCGGGTACAGCCGGCGGACGCTCACGAGGAACACGACGACCAGTACGACCAGTGCGGACAGTGCGAACAGGCGAGACAGGACGAGACGCAGGCTCACGACGCTCAGCAAGACCGCTTGTCGGCTCAGTGTAAGGAGAAGGAGCAGGCAGCGGTGAGCCAGGCTGTAACGGAAGACCAGTAGAAGACGGGAGGCTAAGAACCTGGCGAAGGACGGAGCCAGGCGGTGGCAGAGACGAAGGTGACGGCGGAGCAAAGAACAGTCGCGGCGGTGCAGTGCCACCAGCACCAGTAGCTCCAGCACCTCCTGCAGCACCAGAATCTCCAGCGCCAGCACCCGCAGCAGCTCCAGAACCTCCAGCTCCGGCGCCACCAGCGCCAGCACCTTCAACAGCTCCAGAACCTCCAGCGCCAGCACCCGCAGCAGCTCCAGAACCTCCAGCTCCAGCGCCACCAGCGCCAGCACCTCCAACAGCTCCAGAACCTCCAGCGCCAGCACCCGCAGCAGCTCCAGAACCTCCAGCGCCGGCACCCGCAGCAGCTCCAGAACCTCCAGCTCCAGCGCCACCAGCGCCAGCACCTCCAACAGCTCCAGAACCTCCAGTGCAAGCGTCGACAGCAGCACCTCCAGGTCCAGCAGGACCTCCAGTCCCAGCAGCTCCAGGACCTCCAGTACGAGCACCTCCGGGACCAGCTGCTCCAGGAACTCCAGTAGAAACAACTCTAGTAGTAGAGTCACCAGCTCCAGCGCCTCTCGCAGCAGGGCCCCTTGCTCCAGTAGCGCGACCCTGACGGCTAACGTACCACTCACGCAGCTGCTGTGGGGAGAGAGGGGCAGCGCCGGCTCTAGTGCCTCCAACACCAGCGCCTCCCGCAGCAGGGCCCCCAGCTCCAGCAGCTCGACCCTGACGGCTAACGTACCACTCACGCAGCTGCTGTGGGGAGAGAGGGAGACGACGACGAGAGTGCAGCGGCGAGGCACCAGCGGAGCGACTACAGAGACGGTCGCTCCAGGGAGACTGCTCACCAGACGCCTTAGCGCCCCCAGGTGCAGCACCCCCAGACTCAGTACCCCCAGGCTCAGCACCCCCAGGCTCAGCACCCCCAGGCTCCGCACCCCCAGGCTCAGCACCCCCAGAAGCAGCACCTCGAGCAGGACCACCCTCAGCAGGACCTGAGTCACCAGTGACCTCAACCGGCGCAGTCAAGGGAGGAGGGTCTACCTAAGACACACCTGAAGGAGCACGACCGGGAGCGGGGAGGGGGTCTACCTGGGGAGCACCTGGAGCGAGGAAGAGCGGCGGGGGGGGGAGAGGGGCAGTGCGGTAGGGGAAGAGACGGTAAAAGGGAACCGACTCGTCGAACGTGACGTCCTGAGAGGGGAAGACACGGCGCGAGGTGGGGTGGTAAAACTGCCAACCAGGCGCGTCAGGGACAAAGCCAAGGAAGACACATGGAACAGCGCGGGCGGAGAGCTTGTATGCGGTGGTATCGCGGACAAAGGCATGAGAACCCCAGACCCAGAACACCGACGCATCGCCAACCTCCCCCGTCCACCGCAGTGTGGGCGAGGTCTCCGGCAAGGAGACACGGGGCCAGAGGTTGAGCTGATGCGCGGCGTAGCGGACCGCAAACGGCCACAGAAAATGGGGGGCAGCCGCATGGACCATGGAGGTACGAGCGACCTCCATGACCAAGTCTATGCGGCGCTCAGCAACCCCATTCTGCTGCGGAGAGGCCGGAAGCGTGAACGTCTGGCGAATGCCCTCCCCACGACAAAAGCTCTGCAGAAGGTCGGAGGAAAACTCCCCACCTCTGTCAGAGTGCAGACGCAGGACGGGAAACTCCGTCCTGAACCGCTCGCGGAGCTGGAGACGGGCAGCGCGGATCCAAGGGATCAAAACATCAGGGACCTCACCCTTGGTGCGCAAGGGGAAGACCATGGTGTAACGCGAGTAGTCGTCAACAACCAGCATGAAGTACCGCTCGCGGTCCTGCCCACTGACGCGGGCCGGGCCCCACACGTCCATGTGCAGGGTCTGCAGGGGAGCAGTCGTCGGGGGAAACGAGGAGGAGTGAGGAGCGGCGCGCTGCCGCCCCTCGACACAGGGAAGACGTGGAGGAGCAGGCGAGGGTGGGAGGGGAGGGAGAACCCTGGGAAGACCAGAGACAAGGACACGACGGTGCATGCTACGAAGGCGCTGCACCGAGGGGTGACCAAGACGGTGGTGCCAAAGGAGGGTCTGGTGCGACAAAGCGCGACACGAGCAGGGAGCCGCTAGCTGACCTGACGCAGACGCAGACGCAGCTACCTGAGGGGACACAGTAGTCAGTGTGTACAGACTCGAGCCAGGCGCACGGGTAAACGTGGCCAGGTGCCGGCCCGTCCGGGAGCACGTACAGTGGGTCACGCTCTGACCTCCAGGAGTGAACTGGTCAACCCACTGGTCCTGGAGGTCAGCACCACTCACCAAGTTCGTAGAGAATGAGGGGAGGTGAAGACCTGACAGGGAGCCAGATGGGACCGCCGGACACGGGAGGACCGTGGAGGAGTGCGCAAGGACTGGACCCCCAGAGGGGTCTGCTAGGGAGACTGCAACCGGCCGACTGAGTGGCGTGAGGGTGGTGATGTCGCGAAAGAAGGAGCGGGAAGCACCTGAGTCATGTGTGAAGGTGTACAAGGCCTCAGCAGGCGCAGTACCAGAGAGAGCAGACTCACCAGCATCTGGAGCAGCAGCCTCACCAGCACCTAGAGTAGGAGACGCACTAGCACCTAGAGCAGCAGCCTCACTAGCACCTAGAGCAGAAGATGCACTAGCACCTAGAGCAGCAGCCTCACCAGCACCGAGAGCAGCAGGCTCTATACCTTGGTCAGGCGGTACGCACAGGTAACAGGCACTAGTAGGCAATGCATACATGGCAGTGAGAATAGCATCATAGTCAAGAGCAAAGATATCTACCCGCTGCCTAAGCAGCTCCAGCCAGGTGGGGAGCTCAGCCTCGTCGCCAAACTCGGTACGCCAGGCGTCGCTCAGACGGGCGAAGCAGCGGGACTGTGTGTGACCAAGCGTCCCGCAAGCCTGATCAGCCCGATCACCTGTGCGAATGACGTACGGGCAGCGAACGGTCCTCCGAGACCCTCTACTCTTAGCGTACCATTCACGAAGCTGCTGGGGCGTAAGTGTCTCGCGCGGACGCGGATGCAGCTGCAGCTGGCCACTACCAGACGCTCCCGACTGACCAGCTCCAGGGCGACAGCCACGACGGCTACCGCCACAACCCCAACTAGCGTACCACTCACGAAGCTGCTGGGGCGTGAGAGACTCGCGCGGACGTCGCTGGAGCTGCATCTGGCCACCGCCAGTAGCAGTAGTAGCAGCAGTAGCAGCAGCAGCAGGGCAGGCGCGGCAGGCAGGCGGGCAGGCAGGCAGGCAGATGGCGTGGCAGCGCGCTACAGCCTACACAATATGAACAGTATAACAGTTTGACACAACAGCGCGGGTTTCGCTGCTGCAGCGCGGACTCCACTCCGCTTCCTAGCTGCGCGCTGCTACCGTACTTGCAGTTCGGGGGCTGAGCGGCCAAATCGCGGATTGGTCAGCAAAGTCGCGCTTTTGCGGCTAGGTCGTAGGCGGGGCGGCTAGATCGCGGGCTGAGCGGCTAAGACGCGGGCTGGGCGGTTAGATCGCGGCCTAGGCACGAAGATCACGGGCTGGGCGGCTAAATTGCGGCCTGGGCGGCTCGATCGCGGCCTGGGCGGCTCGATCGCGGTCTGCCCACGTAGATCACGGGCTGGGCGGTTAGCTCGCTGCTGCATGCGGCGAAACCGCTGTCTGGGCGGCTGAATCACGAGCTGGGTGGCTAGATCACAAGCATCTAGCGAGAAACAATCTGCTGCCTGCGAATCGTGCTGCTACTAGAGGGAAAAGCGCTGCTGACTACGGATCGCTCTGTGATGGTGATTTAACATACAAAATTATAGAAAGGGCCTCTTTGGAAATATGTCAGAAACCTGTCAATGAGCTGGAAAGTGAACAAGTCACCAGGCAGCTGGTATAGGCGATGGATAACGGGGTATAGTACGCATTATACAACAATTAAGGATTACAATTGCCCTTACAGGTTTAGCCGAAAAATTAAGTGTAGTAGCATGGCGAGAGTCAGCCAACCTACAATACAGAGCACACATTTGTGTGCACAACTCAGCCCAACTAAAAACCCACTGAATCAGCCCACCGAACACGACCGAGCGAGTGTGTTTTAGTTGAGGGGCTCCATGGGGAACTCCTCGACGGGGCTCAGCTGCTTGGCGCGGTGGTACTCGGTTTGCGCGCAGTCCACGGACAGCACGGAGCTCGACTCGTACAGCCGGGGAGTGCCGTCAAGGAACCCAGCGCCCTCCTGGCTGTCGGCCGAGATCGGACGGTGCAGGTTCGCGATCAGGCGCTGGAAGTCGGCGGCGCGAGCGGCGTGGTCGGGGCGGTACGTTTGGCCGAGCACGCCGTGCACGTCGTCGGTGTGCTCCAGCTCTACAATCCCCACGTTGATGTGCGCCTCGGCCTCGCTGGGCGTCTGCAGCTTGGGGTTGGCCACGCGCAGGCGCAGGTCGAGCGTCACGAGCCCGTCGATCGCGAGCGTGTAGTAGTCCACGTCATACGGGCCCTCCTTCTCCAGCGCCGCGAACCGCAGAGTCAGACCGCCCTCCGCCGTCACCTCGTCGCCCACGTTCATCCTCGGGATCTCCTCGCCGCCAATCTCGATCGTCTTCATGAATCCGTCGCCGCGCTCCTGCTGTTTGCCAGAGCGCGCCGCGAGCCGCACCTTGTGGTCGGCACCGTTGGCGAACCACACGATGCCCAGCTCCTTAATCCACGTGTGCACGGCCTTGCCGTCCACAACGAGCGCCGCGTTCTCCGTGTCGTCCGAGTAGTACCCGCGCAGCAGCATGTTCACGTGCAGGTCCTTGTCCGTCAGCAGGCAGAACGCCTTGTCGGGGCGCCCGTTGAAGTCGAAGTGCGTGCCGTACGCGCCCACCAGATGCGGGTCGTTCACCACGTTTGCCGCGGGGTTGCACTCGCCGCCCGTGCGCACCTGCAGATGAACCGGCTTCGAGTCGGTGGCGTACTGCGCCGTCATGTCGCCGCACGAGTAGTCGATGTTGTCGTGCACCAGGTAGCATGCGCCCTCCGTCTTCTTGCCGTCGATCGTGATGTCGGGGATGTACTGCCAGTACGTGCAGCTGCTGTACCCCGCGCACGTGTTGCAGCACGTCTGCGGGGACGCCTTCTTCAGCGTCAGCGGGTTGCCCTTCACGTACACCTCCACGCCCAGCTTGTTCTTCAGCAGGTTCGACGTCTTCCACTTGGCGGCGATGCCGCCCTTGCTGCAGTTGGCCGGCGTGCACGCGCCCTCCCCGGGCTTGCCCAGGTCCTTGTGGCACTTCATTTTGTTCCATCCCGCAACCTTCACGTCCACCATCAGAATACTGTCCGTGCTCGAGCTCACGATCGTCGTTCCCTCGAACTTGTCAAGCCCGCCGGCGGCCGCCGCCTTCTCGATGCCAGGAGGGACCTCGGTTGCCACGCCATTCTCGCCCTTGGCCTTGTCCAGGTTCACCGCCGGGTTGTTGGGTCCAGTCACCACGGTTTGACCTGCGGACGCCACCGCCAGCAGCACGGCGAACGTTGCGACGAAAAGTAGACGCGCCATGAGGTACGTTGTATGTGTTATGATATGAATGTTATGATATGAATTTGATGGACGATTTGCTGAGATTCTTCAGAATCCTTTTCTCTATGGTATGTTAGGTACTCCTATACTTCAATCTGACTGACAGATCTTTTACCACCCTTTTTGTACCAGCACCGATTTGCCTTGTCCGCGTTGTGTGTGGGGTTGGATACCTCGCTTGTGGGAAACTACGTGAACAGTTAAGCGCTGTGTTGGAATTGTTGCGTGTCGCAGCGAGGTCTCGGCTCTCATCCACCCTCGAGTCACCAGTGCCAGGTTTGATTCAGGAGAAACAAATCGCTTGTGCAGTCTCCTTGGATCCAACCTGGATCAGCAGCGGCCTGTGCTTGAATCTTGTTACCTTCGAAGTTCAGGTCACTTCACTTTGATCTCAAGGTGGGTTTGAAAGCGCAGGTCTCTACGGTGAAATTTTGCGCGGCCTGGGAATTGATCGGTTTGTTGCCCTGAGATCCAACCTGACTTGGCAGGTGGATGCGAAAGTCTGGAGTTCCTGCGGCCCGGGTAACCAAGAAGCCTGCTTCCTTTGGTTTGATAATGTGCACCATCGACTGTCGAGTGAGGCTACTTGAAAATACAATAAAACACCTAAAATGCCTGGTGTGTCAAGCACCTAAAAGACAGGTTGGGTTGCAAGGGAAAGGGCAGTCAACTAGCTTTGTTACTTTCCGGTCAAAATACCAGTCACCAATAGCTTCTGCCATTGTCTGAACACATCATATGCAAAGAGAAAATGATGGGGGGGAACAGAGTGTAGAGAACAAATTACTTCGATGTATGAATGGGAGAACACTCATTTGCGTCCACATAACCAGACATGCACAAATCGAACGTGCTATAAGTAGCAAAAAGCTTTATCCATGCAGCACAGCACAACATAATGGCGACATTATTCAATAAAATGACTCACCTTGCCCCCAACACGAGGAGCACCAGCCCCGTGCCATGCTTGCGATGCCAGTGCCTGGTGCAAAGGACGAACAGGTAAGGAGTGAGCAGGGAAGTGAGAGAAAAGGAGAGATAGAGAGGGAGCAACAAGTGGTTCACGGGCCGTGCCTGTGCCACTCACCATGCAGCACCACTCACCATGCAGCACCACTCACCATGCAGCACCACTCACCATGCAGTACCACTCACCATGCAGCACCACTCACCATGCAGCACCACTCACCATGCAGTACCACTCACCATGCAGTACCACTCACCATGCAGTGCCACTCACCATGCAGTGCCACTCACCATGCAGTGCCACTCACCATGCAGTGCAGATGGCAGGACAACAGCAGAGCTCCATTGCGCGAGGCAGAGGCGGAGACCCCTCCTTCCTGGGAGCGGAAAGCCTCGCCCTCCACAACACCAAGCCCATCCCTCTTCATCGCTTCAAAATCCCTCCCCATTTCTCCAACTTCCAGCCCCTTGTGATATCCCAAGTCAGCCCTCTCATCTGCACTCGGCTTCTCCTCCTGCTCCCCTTCTTCCTCCTCCTCATTCCCCTCCACACGTGCACCACCCTCAGTTTCTTTTGCCTCCTCATTCTCTTCCTTCTCCTCTTCACCCCCCCTTTTCTCTTCACTCTCCGACTCCTCCTCACTTCCCTTCTCCTCCTCACTCCCTCTCTCATTCTCACCTCCCGTCTCCTCCCCGCTCTTACTCTCGCCATCACCCCCTTCCTCCTCCTCACCATCACCATCCCCTATGTTCTTTTCCCCTACCTCCTCCGTACCTCCCTCCTCAACACCAATCCCTCCGCCTTCCACCAAAGTCAGGCGGCGGCGATGGTGGGGAGGAGGGCTAAGAGAGTGCGTGGCAGGGAGAAAGGGGGAGAGCTTGGTAACCATCTGGTGGTGGTACCCTGGGTGGGGTGGGGTGGGGTGGGGTGGGGTGGGGTGGGGTGGGGTATGGAGAAAGAGAGGTTCCGGGGCGCATGACGGGAAGGAATTAGATGGGGCATTTTTTTGAGACGTCTCAAAAATACACTTCTTTCACGTGGCGATTTGGATCAGTCAGGTGGATTATGGTTTTGATGCAGCCACGAGATGTGGGTCTTCTCTAGAGTGGATTTTTGAGTCGACTAAAAAAATCGACTCATCACACGTGGGTCTTCTCTAGAGTGTGGAGAAACCACGAGAGTCGGGCAAGAAAGGGGCGCGGGGAGGGGTTTGGTGCGCGGTGGGGTGCGTGGGGGCACATCACATCAGTGCACGTCGTCGCACATCACCGCATGTCACCACTCATCACCGCACTGTACCGTGGAGCAGCTGCAGCAGGTGGGGCGGGCAGGAGCGCAGGTCAGTGCGGCAGTGGTGCCAATCCAGAGAGGGGAAGGCATGCTGCTGGGCGAATGAGAAAGACACCTAATGTTGGCAGGAAGGACGGGGGAGAGGGAGGGGGAGAGGGAGGAGACGAGGGGCCAAGGTTGGAGGGGAGGGAAGTGCAGGAGGGGACTCTGACCAGACGAACCAGAGTTACCGTGGTTGATGTGGCTGGTCCATCTGCTCAGAAGGTTTAGGTGATTCAATTCAACTCACCATTTAGCATGATTGGTCTAACCTGAAAAAAGTACTTGTCAGGAGTGACCCAACCTGAGGGATTACCTGCCAGGAGTCGTAGAGGGGGTTGAGAACGAAGAAGGGCCGGCAGAGGAAGGGAAGGAGATGCTCCGGGAAGAAGCACTGCGGGCGTGGTTGGGGCATGGTGCATGGCGGATGGTGCATGGGGGATGGTGCATGGCGGATGGTGCATGGGGGATGGTGCATGGGGGATGGTGCATGGGGGATGGTGCATGGGGGATGGGGGATGGTGCATGGGGGATGGCGCATGGTGGATGGGGGATGGTACATGGGGGATGGTGCATGGGGGATGGTGTATGGGGGATGGTGCATGGGGGATGGTGCATGGTGGATGGTGCATGGTAGATGGTGCATGGTGCATGGTAGATGGTGCATGGTGCATGGTAGATGGTGCATGGTGGATGGTGCACGGTGGATGGTGGGGAGGAACGGAAGAAATCAATTAGTCATAAATCAGAGTTAATGATTCAGGGATAATAGAATTTGAGTCATGGACGGGCAATGGGCCATGACAGGATTTGGATCATACATGATGGGCAATGTGACATACATGATGGGCAATGTGACATACATGATGGGCAATGTGACATACATGATGGGCAATGTGACATACATGATGGGCAATGTGACATACATGATGGGCAATGTGACATACATGATGGGCAATGTGACATACATGATGGGCAATGTGACATACATGATGGGCAATGTGACATACATGATGGGCAATGTGACATACATGATGGGCAATGTGACATACATGATGGGCAATGTGACATACATGATGGGCAATGTGACATACATGATGGGTAATGTGACATACATGATGGGCAATGTGACATACATGATGGGTAATGTGACATACATGATGGGTAATGTGACATACATGATGGGTAATGTGACATACATGATGGGCAATGTGACATACATGATGGGCAATGTGACATACATGATGGGCAATGTGACATACATGATGGGCAATGTGACATACATGATGGGTAATGTGACATACATGATGGGCAATGTGACATACATGATGGGTAATGTGACATACATGATGGGTAATGTGACATACATGATGGGTAATGTGACATACATGATGGGCAATGTGACATACGTGATGGGCAATGTGACATACATGATGGGCAATGTGACATACATGATGGGTAATGTGACATACATGATGGGCAATGTGACATACATGATGGGTAATGTGACATACATGATGGGCAATGTGACATACATGATGGGCAATGTGACATACATGATGGGCAATGTGACATACATGATGGGTAATGTGACATACATGATGGGCAATGTGACATACATGATGGGCAATGTGACATACATGATGGGCAATGTGACATACATGATGGGCAATGTGACATACATGATGGGTAATGTGACATACATGATGGGTAATGTGACATACATGATGGGTAATGTGACATACATGATGGGTAATGTGACATACATGATGGGTAATGTGACATACATGATGGGCAATGTGACATACATGATGGGCAATGTGACATACATGATGGGCAATGTGACATACATGATGGGTAATGTGACATACATGATGGGTAATGTGACATACATGATGGGTAATGTGACATACATGATGGGTAATGTGACATACATGATGGGTAATGTGACATACATGATGGGTAATGTGACATACATGATGGGCAATGTGACATACATGATGGGCAATGTGACATACATGATGGGTAATGTGACATACATGATGGGTAATGTGACATACATGATGGGCAATGTGACATACATGATGGGCAATGTGACATACATGATGGGCAATGTGACATACATGATGGGTAATGTGACATACATGATGAGTAATGTGACATACATGATGGGTAATGTGACATACATGATGGGTAATGTGACATACATGATGGGCAATGTGACATACACGATGGGCAATGTGACATACATGATGGGTAATGTGACATACATGATGGGCAATGTGACATACATGATGGGTAATGTGACATACATGATGGGTAATGTGACATACATGATGGGTAATGTGACATACATGATGGGTAATGTGACATACATGATGGGTAATGTGACATACATGATGGGCAATGTGACATACATGATGGGCAATGTGACATACATGATGGGTAATGTGACATACATGATGGGCAATGTGACATACATGATGGGTAATGTGACATACATGATGGGCAATGTGACATACATGATGGGCAATGTGACATACATGATGGGTAATGTGACATACATGATGGGCAATGTGACATACATGATGGGCAATGTGACATACATGATGGGCAATGTGACATACATGATGGGTAATGTGACATACATGATGGGCAATGTGACATACGTGATGGGCAATGTGACATACATGATGGGCAATGTGACATACATGATGGGCAATGTGACATACATGATGGGCAATGTGACATACATGATGGGCAATGTGACATACATGATGGGCAATGTGACATACATGATGGGCAATGTGACATACATGATGGGCAATGTGACATACATGATGGGCAATGTGACATACATGATGGGCAATGTGACATACATGATGGGCAATGTGACATACATGATGGGCAATGTGACATACATGATGGGCAATGTGACATACATGATGGGCAATGTGACATACATGATGGGCAATGTGACATACATGATGGGCAATGTGACATACATGATGGGTAATGTGACATACATGATGGGCAATGTGACATACATGATGGGTAATGTGACATACATGATGGGTAATGTGACATACATGATGGGTAATGTGACATACATGATGGGCAATGTGACATACATGATGGGCAATGTGACATACATGATGGGCAATGTGACATACATGATGGGCAATGTGACATACATGATGGGTAATGTGACATACATGATGGGCAATGTGACATACATGATGGGTAATGTGACATACATGATGGGTAATGTGACATACATGATGGGTAATGTGACATACATGATGGGCAATGTGACATACGTGATGGGCAATGTGACATACATGATGGGCAATGTGACATACATGATGGGTAATGTGACATACATGATGGGCAATGTGACATACATGATGGGTAATGTGACATACATGATGGGCAATGTGACATACATGATGGGCAATGTGACATACATGATGGGCAATGTGACATACATGATGGGTAATGTGACATACATGATGGGCAATGTGACATACATGATGGGCAATGTGACATACATGATGGGCAATGTGACATACATGATGGGCAATGTGACATACATGATGGGTAATGTGACATACATGATGGGTAATGTGACATACATGATGGGTAATGTGACATACATGATGGGTAATGTGACATACATGATGGGTAATGTGACATACATGATGGGCAATGTGACATACATGATGGGCAATGTGACATACATGATGGGCAATGTGACATACATGATGGGTAATGTGACATACATGATGGGTAATGTGACATACATGATGGGTAATGTGACATACATGATGGGTAATGTGACATACATGATGGGTAATGTGACATACATGATGGGTAATGTGACATACATGATGGGCAATGTGACATACATGATGGGCAATGTGACATACATGATGGGTAATGTGACATACATGATGGGTAATGTGACATACATGATGGGTAATGTGACATACATGATGGGCAATGTGACATACATGATGGGCAATGTGACATACATGATGGGTAATGTGACATACATGATGAGTAATGTGACATACATGATGGGTAATGTGACATACATGATGGGTAATGTGACATACATGATGGGCAATGTGACATACATGATGGGCAATGTGACATACATGATGGGTAATGTGACATACATGATGGGCAATGTGACATACATGATGGGTAATGTGACATACATGATGGGTAATGTGACATACATGATGGGTAATGTGACATACATGATGGGTAATGTGACATACATGATGGGTAATGTGACATACATGATGGGCAATGTGACATACATGATGGGCAATGTGATATACATGATGGGTAATGTGACATACATGATGGGCAATGTGACATACATGATGGGTAATGTGACATACATGATGGGCAATGTGACATACATGATGGGCAATGTGACATACATGATGGGTAATGTGACATACATGATGGGCAATGTGACATACATGATGGGCAATGTGACATACATGATGGGCAATGTGACATACATGATGGGCAATGTGACATACATGATGGGCAATGTGACATACATGATGGGCAATGTGACATACATGATGGGCAATGTGACATACATGATGGGCAATGTGACATACATGATGGGTAATGTGACATACATGATGGGCAATGTGACATACATGATGGGTAATGTGACATACATGATGGGCAATGTGACATACATGATGGGCAATGTGACATACATGATGGGCAATGTGACATACATGATGGGCAATGTGACATACATGATGGGTAATGTGACATACATGATGGGCAATGTGACATACATGATGGGTAATGTGACATACATGATGGGTAATGTGACATACATGATGGGTAATGTGACATACATGATGGGCAATGTGACATACGTGATGGGCAATGTGACATACATGATGGGCAATGTGACATACATGATGGGTAATGTGACATACTGTTAGAGATTAAGGACGGAGTCTATGAAGATTAGGGGCTGAAATATCTCAAAATCGTCAACTACAATTCTGGACAGAAAAGTCGTCGTCACAAGAAACGTCGTCGACGAAAGGTCCACTGTTAGAATTCTTTCAAACTCGAGTATGTTGTAGCCCTTGACCGTGGCTATCTTTCCCAATTTGAATAGTATCAGAATATGGAGTATAACTCGAGTTATGAACTTCGGCGCACTAGGGGGTATGCTGCCATAGAAAACGTAACTCAATCACAATGATCTCACAAGTTCACACAAGAAAGTTAGAGTAGCAATAGAACCAGGTAGGAGGGGATGAGGAGGACGAGAGGGAAGGTCCCAAGAGAGTCCCCAACCAAGGAAACCCCATGCCATACAATTCCCTTCCCCATAGGCAACCCAACTTTGACCTTTGTCACTATCCCAACCTCCACAATCCACCTCAACCCAACTTGGCCACACTTGCCAACCTGGTTTGGTTTCTCCCAACCATTTGGCAGCAACTACAGTAGAAAATACGAATTTCCCAACCCCCAAAAGTCTGTACCCCATATTGAGTCAACCCCACAACTTCCCATAGTCACCACAACCAAATATCAAAAGCATACGAA